ACAAACAAACAAACAAACAAACAAACAAACAAACAAACAAACAAACAAACAAACAAACAAACAAACAAACAAACAAACAAACTGTTGGGCTAGACTTTTGAGTGTTTATTCCAACACAACATCCAGCACTGCTGCTCAGATTTATAATAATAATAAAGAGATTACAGAAAAACATAAATGTCCACCCAATGCACAGTCACATTAAAATAAAAAGGTTTAAGCCTCAAAAGGCTGAATCAGTGAAGCACAATTCTAATGGAATTACAGTAAGTATTGTTGACTAGATTACATGAGGTTGGTTTTTTTTTCCTTGCGACATGAAAAACCAGGCAGGTGTGCTTTTAAATCTGGGATTATTGCAGTGTAATCCTTATGAGTGATCATTCTCTCCCTTAACAGTGCAGGCGGAACAAACTCCACAAGAAATGCAATAAACCAGGGATGTTAAAATCTGGTCCTCAACGGCCGCTATCCTGCATGATTTCTTTGTTTCTCTGCTTCAACACACCTGACTCAGTGATTCAATCACCACTTCCAATTCTGTAGAAGCTTGTTAACCATCCATTCATGCAAATCAGGTGTGTTTGAGCAGGGAACCCAGAAAACATGCTGGATAGTGGCTCTCGAGAACCGGAGTTCAACACCTAATCTGAAATGCCCATTTATCTGGACCTGTTAGTAGTTTGTTGTCAAAATTATTTTAGGACTATCAAGTCATGATTCTTGGGATTTAAAGTTGTGATCAAAGAAAATTAGCATGTTGTTTTTTATTTAATTTTGCTTCAGCTTTTGTTTCAAGTCCTGTTTTTTGTTTTGTTTGTTTCCCGATTGCCCCATGGTGTGTTTGATGCACACCTGGTCATTGTTTCTGAAGTATCACACTTGCAACTGTATAATAAATACATTTGTATTAGTTTTCTTTCAAATTATAAAAATATTTGTCACTTAAAGCAATCTCAAACTCTTCTCAGTTTAGTTTCTGTAAATGCTAGCGGTATTGTCATACCTTCAGGGGAGTCCACCTATTCAATAAAATATCTAAAGCTGAATGTACAGGTCTAAAAACCACAAATAATAATAATTAAAAAACTTGTCAAATTCTACCTTTCTCCATTTTTAAGTGTACTTCAGTAGACTAAATCATAAACTCAAGGGTGGCTGTCAAGGTGAATACAAAGCGGGCCAAGTAGGTAAATTGAGCAATTAAATAATATGATGTTTTTCAAGCTGTGCTCACAAAAATAGGCTGCAAATAAAAAAAATTGACATTAGGTTACAAACCATCAGATTTCAGTGCTACTGCAACAAAAAAAGACTATTGTCTAGAAATTATCAGTTGCCAACTGGCCCAGTGAAATACTACCTTTAGTTTTGTTCTGTGATCATCAAAGCTCACTACCCCTCACAACTACCAAACTGCTACATCTCCTTAGTTTGCACCACACAGGCTAGACAGTGTTAAATGCCACCCTATGCCCTTATACATATAGATATATACATTTGTATTTACACATACATACATACCTTATATATGCCTTATACCCTTGTTGCCCTCAGGAAAGCACTACAGGTGCATGAGAACATGAACAAACAGATTCACAAACAGCTTTTTCCCAAAAGCCATCACCTGACTGAACTCTCACATGCACTGACTCGATTTACAATCAATGAGGAACTCACCTACTGTGAAATAAATACATCTGTGGGACACATGTCACTTTACTTTGTAATGATCACCTGCAATACCAGCAAAATACATATACCTCAATATACACAATGTGCAATATTTAAACAATGTGCAATAATGTCTTTTAACTTTCTTCTAATTTAGTTTCACATTTACAACCAACACTCATTGTGATTTTATGTGCTTTATATATATGTGTGTGTATATATATGTGTGTGTGTATATTTATATGTGTATATATATATATATATAT